GCCCAGCGGGTCGAGGCTGCGGCGGTTGGCAGCGGCCGCTGCACTCCAGTCTGGGCGACAGAGTGAGACTCCAACTCAAAAAAAAAAAGGAAAAAAAGGAGAAGATGGAGAGTAGGGGAGGACTGAGGCCAGAGGGCCCCAGAATTTGCCTAAGGTCATTCTGTAAGTAGAGAGGCAGACAGATACAGGATATACACGCAGGCAACACTACACACAGACACAACAATAGTCCCTGCAGACATAAAGTGTAACCCGGCCAGAGAAAAATCACACCAGCTTTGACACAGGCAGCCACATATACCTCCCCACACATAGAGTCCAACACAGTTATGTCTCTATAGGCAAACTGTGGTCCCATGGGCAGGCTCCCCCCTATACCAAGTTGCAAGGCCTGTGGGGCAGAGCATGGGCCCTGAACCCCCAACAGACCACTCATTCTCCCTCACGCATGCATGGCTCACCCTCTATCAGGACTACTGCTCCCAGGATGAGCCCTGGGCCCCAGCTCTGCTTCATGCTGCTCCAGGCCACTCTGCCGCCCGCGCTCTGATTCTCAGAGAGGCCACCTAGGTCTCCCTGGCTCCACCTCTGCTCCGCCCCCAGCTGGCTAGGAATCAGAGTCGTTGCTTTTCCTAGCCAGCAGCTCCCGACTCTGGGGCTGTAGCTGTGAGACCCTAGGCTGCCACCACCTCTCTATGGGCCTTAGCCATAGAGCCAGACTGCCTGAGTTTAAATCCTAGCTGCCCTACTTACCTTGTCTGAAAAAAATCAGAGTTGTTGAATGTAAAAATACTTGGATTACAGCCTGGCATATAGTAAACTTGATCTCAGCATGGAAGCATCATTCTGGAACAGTGGCAGGCACAGTGAGCAGGACAGTTCCTTTTCGTCTCAGCTTGCCATTTCTCTCCCAAAGGCCAGGTGTGTTTCAGGAAACCCTGTTTCCCCTCATGTCTGCTTCAGAGGCAGCGTGTACAAAGCTGGATGTCAAGGGCTGTGGCTGCTGCTGCTTGCTGGCCAGGAGACTTTGGCAAATCCCAACGCTTCCCTGGGCCTGCTGCCTCCCTGGGAAACAGGGTTACAGCAATGCCTACCTTTTTCAAACAGGTGTTAGAAGACTCTCAGATGGGAAGACCACTCGGGGTATACCCTTTTTCTCTTCCTGACTCCTAACTCAGGCCAGCCCAGACTGTTCAGGAACCCTGTTCCCAACACAGAGACAACTATGTGTAGGGTTTAGAGCACAGACACTGGAGCTAGATGACCCAGGTAGATCCAAATCCTGAGAACTTCCTAACTCCCTCCCTGGCATTAGCTGTGTGCTCTTAGGCAAATTACTTAGCCTCTCTGTACCTCAGATTCCTCATCAAGATAGGTATAATAACAGGACTTACCTCATAAATTGCTATAAGGATTAAACGTGTTAACACATTAACACAAGTTCTTAAGCAGTGCTTGGCATGTGGTTAAGTGCTCAGTATGTATTAGGAAAAACAAAAACAAAGCCCTGGCCCTTCACAGGCAGCCACAGGGGTCAAGATTAGACTATAGGAAGAACTTTCCAGCAAACAGGCAACGAACCAGAAGGGTAGATTGCCCTTATACACTTGACCCTCTGAGGAGGGGGAGACCTGACTCTTGTGAGTAACAGGGACAAGTTACCAGCTTCTTTCCTGGAGGCGGGGGCTGCTGATGCCCCAGGCCTTGCTCATTCCACATGAAACTAACCATAACCACCCTTCCCAGCAGGCCCTCCACGCTCCCTCTGACTCACATCCTTCCCAGTTCCAGAGAAGGCAACACTGAGGGAGGCCCAACACAAGGTCCCTGGCAGACAGATGGTTCAGACGTGGCCAATTTATTTAAGAAATTTTATTGTTCAAAATCTTCCCTCCTTGGCCAATGGCAGGAGCTTCAGAAACCAGCTCTTGGGGACAGAGCCAGAGGCACTGGGTGGAAAAAAAGTGAGAGCATGGCACATTTGGTCCACTGTTGTGTGTGGGTATGGTGGGAAGGGAGGGAATTCTAGAAGGTCTTAGATGCAGGGCCTTCTAGAGAGCCAGACATACCACCCCTTGGGCAAGGCTCATGTACCAATGCAAAGCAGACGAGGTCAGCCTGGCCTGGGGTGAGGGCTCAGTGCCCCTTAGCTTTGCCCTGGGGCTCTTGGACATTCCGGAAACTAAGCAACATCAGGCCCACATTGATGGCATAGGTGGTGATGCAAACAATGCAGAAATCATAGAGCACGAAGAACAGGATCCAGGCCAGGTAGATAGAACCAGCGAGAGACACCAAGGAACTCAGCACTAGCAGGATGGAAGCCCAGCGTGTCCGTAGGCAACCTGCAAGGCAGAAAGAGTCAGATATGGGCTTCAAGGACTGGCCACGTCTAGAACAGTGCTGTGACTGCACAGTGCCACCCGACAGCAGGAGCTGCTGGGGAAGGGTTTCTATAAGAGGCTCTGACTGGCTGGGCTTGGTGACTCAGCCTGTAATCCCGCGCCTTGGGAGGCTGAGGCGAGTGGATTGCCTGAGCCCGCGGGTTCAAGACCTGCCTGGGCAACTTGGTGAGACCTCAGCGTGCGCCTGTAGTTCCAGCTACTTGGAAGGCTGAGGCGGAAGGATCGCCGGAGCCCAGCAGATCGAGGCTGCGGTGGCCGGGAGCAGCCACTGCACTCCAGTCTGGGCGACAGAGTGAGACTCCAACTCAAAAAAAAGAGGCTCTGACTGGACCCTTCTGAGACCCTGATTCCCCTAGCTGTCCAATGATCCTTGGGGCCAAATAGTGAGTTTTTCTGCTGAACTCTACGTGAGATGAAAGGTCATCCTCAGATTCTTTTCAAATAGGAATTTCTGAATCCTTTCCACAAAACTAAGGTCCCAGGACGTCTTTTTGTTTGAATCTCACTGTCGCCCAGGTTGGAGTGCAGTGGAATGCCAACGGCCACCACAGCCTCGACCTGCTGGGCTCAGGTGATTCTTCCGCTTTACCCTTCCAAGGAGCTGGAACAACAGGCATGTGCCACCACGCCCGGCTAATTTTATGATGTTTTGTAGAGACAAGGTCTTGCCAAGTTGCCCAGGCTGGTCTCAAACCCCCGGACTCAGGCAATCCTCTCTCCTCAGCCTCCCAAAGTGCTGGGATTATAGGCGTGAGCCACCACGCCTGACTCCGAGGATGTCTTTAAGGGCCCTCTAGCCTCTGACAGTACTTAAATCAACTAAAAGCCTCTAATTAATTCTCTCCCTACCTCCTCACCCCCAGTATGCTCTGTCAGCTGTCTGGGTCACCAAGACTGCAGGGGAGGAATTGAGCTGGCCAAGGGGGAGAAGGGTGGAGCCTGTAGGGAAGGGGCGTGGCCACTCACCTAATAGCAGCTGTAGTGTGTAGAAGATGCAACCGAATATGCTGTTGGATTGGTTAAGGATGCTGTCCTGTCCCAGCACATGCTCCACCAGTCCGAAGCCCTTGCCCCATCTGGTGGTGGTGGTGGAAGGGATTAAGGGAACCAGGTTAGGAGTGTCAACCTAATGCCTTCGACCCTGTCCCGGAAAGACTTCCAAGAAGCCACCTGGGCTGTCCCCCTTTTCCGTTCCCCTCCCCCCCCCAGTCCAAGGGTCGATGACATTCTGGCACCCAGCACCTTTGGCCAAGTCAAGATTCCACATCACTGCCCCTCTTCTCCCCTTTCCCCAGATCAGGCCAGGACATGGCTCCTCCATAGGCGCCTCTTTTCATCCTAGACCATCATTAATTCCAGATGGCAAGGCTGGTATCATGGTTGACCCCACTTTACACAGTTACCAGACACTGGGAACCCGGGGCAGATCCTGTTTGCTCCGGATCCCAAAATCTCCTGCCGCTTGGCCATCTACTCTCTTCCGTATTACATCATTCCGCTAACCTTTGGCCCCCAAACAAGCCAGACCTAGCCACCTTGTCGCCGGACATGATCTTCACCAGCCCCTCTGGCGCCATCCTCAAGACCATCATCAGTCCCGACGCGCTATCCTACCTCCCTCTCTTTCCCAGTCCCCGTTATTCCCTGGCATCCGGATCCACTTGCGATTCCCCGGAGTAAACCCAGTACCCAGCACTACCTGCTCCCCGCACCGCACCACGATCGCGAACACCAGTATCTCTGGGCAGCCAGTCCCCGTGCAATGGCCCCTGGAGCTGTCCGGCCCCAAGCGTTTGTTTCCCGGGCACCCCGATCCCAGACTCCAGAATTATCTGGCAACCTGGCCGCCATGCACACCTGGTCCCCGGGGCGCCACGCCTTCCACTCCCGCGCGTACCTGGAGGAGAAGACGCGCGAACAGCTGATCGCGGTGCCCACGTCGCAGAGCGCGCGGTAATCCCGGTCTCGGGCGCGCGCCGCCTTCACATGCAGGGCGTAGAGAGACAGCACTAACCCCGCCAGGCAGAGCGCCAGCCGCACCCAGCCAGGGCTCCCCCAGGTGGTGCCCATGTCTTCAGGTCCCGCCCGAGGTGCCAGCGGGGACAGAACCAGCCACGGAGCAGGGGCGGGGCAGGATCTGGCCGCGCCCCCGCCCGCCCCCATGACTGGGCGATTGGGCTGCCAGGTCTCATACTTCATGATCCAATTGGTTGTTCCCAGGACTTGATAGACGTGTGGGCCAGAGAGGAAAAAACGGCAAGGAATGCAGTGACTGGTGAGGTGCCTTATTGGACTGGGGGTGGGGGGGCATCATGGACCAGGCTGCCAGGCATGATGGGAATTGTAGTTGGTGCAGCTGCAAGGCATCAAGGGAAATGGAGTTTCCAGAGTTTTACAAATTTTATTAAAGTGACTAACAGAGCCAGGCGCGGTGGCTCACGCCTGTAATCCCACTACTTTGGGAGGCCGAGGCGAGAGGATTGCTTGAGTCCAGGGGTCCGGGACCAGCCTGAGCAACTTGGCGAGACCTCGTCTCTACAATAAATCAAAAGAATTAGCCGGGCGTGGTGGTGCGTGCCTGTAGTTCCAGTTATTTGTAAGGCTGAGGCGGAAGGATCGCCTGGGCCCAGTGGACCGAGGCTGCAGTGGCCGTGAGCGTGCCACTGCACACCAGCCTGGGCGACAGAGTAAGACTCCGACTCAAAAAAATACAATACAATAAAACAATAACGTGACTAGCAGTATTTTACGTTTACTTTACGTTGAGCCAGCACCCAGAGACGAGTGGTCAGGGGATCCAGCGAATAATGCGACCGATTCAGGAACGAAGAATTTCCCCTGAAATTATTTCAGACACCACTCAGACTATATAACCTCCTATCCTTCCAGGTTCTTTAGCCATACCCTTCTGCCTCTCTGGTGCTTCGTGAGGGCCCGTCTTCTTCTCTCTTTCTCTCCCTTAAATTCCCAGTGTCCATCGGGCGTGGTGGCTCAAACCTGTAATCCCAGCACTGTGGGAAGCCGAGGTGAGGGGATTGCCTTAGCCCACAGGTTCCAGACCAACCTGGGCAACTTGGCGAGCCCTCATCTCTACAATAAAAATTAAAAAGAAAATTAGCTGGGCACGGTAGCACGCCTGTAGTTCTGGCTACTTGGAAGGCTGAGGCTGAAGGATCGCTGGAGCCCAGCAGATCGACGCTGGGGTGGCGGTCAGAGTGCCACTGCACTCCAGCCTGGGTGACAGACTGAGACTCCAACTCAAAAAAAAAAAAAATTCCTAGCGTCATTACTTTGAATACATCCTTGACAGTTTCCTAACTTTACTCCTGTGGCGCCCGCCTCGCAAAACCTGGGTTTGGATCAACTCAACAGTCATCTCCTCTTTCCCAAGACTTCTGTGGACCAGCTGAGCTCTTTTCTTCAGAGACATCCCGGCTGTTGATGACCCATCTCTGCCATACCTTCAACCTCCTCGTTCTTCCAACCTGCACTGAAACTTGCTTCTCTTTTCCATCTCAGAAACAGCAACAAATCTCCCTTTGCCAAGAGTTTCATCACCAGCTCCTCCCTCCCCTCATTACCCCACCTTTCCCCTTTGCAGTCAAGTTCTTGGAAAGATTTTACACCCCTAGTCTTTACCTTCTCCCCAAGGAAGAATCCTTGAGGCCCACAGCGTAAACTAGCTCCTGCGCCTGCACTCTCCTGACATCTAGTGGCTGGTGTCACCAAGACGCTATATCCAATGATTATTTTTCAAGTCATCTTGCTTGGCCTCCCAACAGAATCAGTCACTGCTTCCCATTCCTTCCTGAGAACGCTTTTCCTCTGGCTTCTGTGATATTTTACTCTCCTGCTGGCCTTTCTACCTCTCTGACTGCGCTTTCTCGGATCCACTCTCCCAGAAATTGTGGTAGACAGAATAATGGTCTCCAGAGCTGTCCACATCCTAATTCCTGGAACCTGTGAATAAGGGGAATGAAAGTTGCAGATGGAATTAAGTTTGCTAATCTGCCGATTTTATTTATTTATTTATTTTATTTATTTTTTATTTTTTTAGTTGGAGTCTCACTCTGTTACCCAGACTGGAGTGCAGTAGCACACTCCCGGCCACCGCAGCCTTGACCTGCTGGGCTCCGGTGATCCTTCCGCCTCAGCCTTCCAAGTAGTCACTACAGGAGTGTACTACCACACCCGGCTAATTTTTTTTTTGAAGATGGAGTAAGGCGGTCATGACTGCAACTCAAAAAAAACCCCAACCAAACAAACAACAACTACAAAAAATAACAATCTCAAAACCTGTGAAAACAAGGGGGAAAAAGACAAAGAAAAAAGGAAGCCAGGTAGGCATGGTGGCACACGCCTGTAGTTCCAGCTACTTGGAAGGCTGAAGCGGAAGGGTCGCCGGATCCCAGCAGGTGGGGGCTGTGAGCATGTCACTGCACTGCAGCCTTGGTGACAGAGTGAGATTCTGACTCAAAACAAAAAAAACCAACAATAATCATTTTATTTTCTCTCACAGTCGTTTGTTTGTTTGTTTTGGTGAGAAAGTAGGATTTACTGAGAAGACAGAAAACTTCCACAGTGTGAGGGGACCTGAGGTTGCCCTCACAGATTTTATGGGTTAGGAATTTGTGAAAAGAATTTTGGCTGGGCAGTTCTGGCTCATGCAACTGTAGTCATGTGGTGGCTAAAGGTGGAACTGTGAAAGGATAAAGCAGCTGAAGTTTAACCTAGCATCTCTCTCTCTTCGTGTAGTCTCAGGGCCTAGCTGTGGAGTCTCTCTGCATGGGCTATTTGGGCTTCCTCACGGTACGGCTGTCTCAGGGCTTATAATAGCCAGCTTCCAAAATGGTCCTCAATGATTTCCACTTCCTGCTATTCATACCATGGTGTAATCTTTTCCTACACTGAATAGGGCTGAATTGACCCAATAGGATAATGCAAAAATGACAGTATGTGACACTGTCACAAATATTTTGCCCCCTGTTAGATTTCTCATTCCAAAGGGAGCCAGCTACCATGTCATAAAGACACTCAAGCAGCCCTGGGGAGAGGTCCACTTAGTAGGGAACTGAGGCCTTCTGGCAATAGCCAGCATTAACTTGCTGAGCATGTGAGAGAGTTACCTTGGAAACAGGTTCTCCAGGACCATTCAAGCCTTCAGATGACTGTAGTGCCGGCCAACTTCTTGACTGTACCTCATGAGAGTCTCTGAGCCAGAATCACCCATCTAAGCTGCTCCCAGATCACTGGGCCAAATAAACTGTGAGATAATAAGTATTTATTGTTAGCCAGGTGTGGTGGTGCATGCCTATTTCCAGCTACTTGGAAGGCTGAGACAGAAGGGTCGCCTAAGCCCAGCAGGTCGAGGTTGTGGTGGCCGTGAGCGTGCCACTGCACTCCGGCCTGGGCAACAGTGAGACTTCGACTTAAACCAACAAATAAATACATAACTGTTTATTGTTTTATGATGCTATGTTTTGAGGAGTAATTTGCTACACAGCAATTAATAATTAATATGGGGCAGTTAGACTGCTCACCTGGCAGCTCAGGACTCCAGCACATGTTTTCCAGGAAGCCAGGTGGAAGCTGCATCCATTGTCTTTTATGATCTAGCTTCAGAAGTCATCTAGCATCCTTTCCACTGTAATCGCAAGCCTGCCCAGTTCCAAGGGGGAAAGAACAAAGACCCCCCCCCGCAACCGCTGCCCATGCAAGAAGTGTCAGAGTTATATTGTAAGACATTCACGTAGGATTGTATTTTCTTTGGAAAATACAATCTGCCATGTGGGAGCAACATGATCTCCTCCCATGTTTTCTCTTACTGCCTATAGGTCATGACTTCCAAGCTCTGACTTGAGACCAATTTTCTCTCCTGGCCTCAAAACCCCACAGTAGAACCACCTCCTGGACGTCATCATCTGGGTGTCTCACAAACCTATCAGAAGCAACATACCTGCAGCGCAACCCCTTATTTTCCCAAACTTGTTCTTCTGCTGGGATTTCCCATTTTAGGGATGACTCCTTCATCCACCAAGCTTTTTGAGTTGGAGTCTCACTCTGTCGCCCAGACTAGAGTGCAGTGGCATGCTCACAGCCACCGCAGCCTCGACCTACTGGGCTCAGGCAATCCTTCTGCTTCAGCCTTCCAAATAGCTGGAACTACAGGCATGCGCCACCATACCTGGCTAATTTTTTCTTTTTTGAAAGCAGGATTTATTGAAAGGACAGAAAAGCTCTTAGAGTGGGTGAGGACCCAAGGGGGTTGCCCTAATTTTTTGATTTATTGTAGAGACAAGGTCTTGCCAAGTTGCCCAGGATGGTCTCGAACCCCTGGGCTCAGGCAATCCTCTTGCCTCTGCCTCCCAGAGTGCTGGGATTATAGGCATGAGGCACCACGCCTGGCCCACCATCACAATTTACATAGCTACTAATCTCCCAAATATACTTGTTCCCCACCCCAAGATGCACTCTCCACACAGAAATCAGAGGGAACCTTTAAAAAACAAAGATGTTGACACCGGGCACAGTGGCTCATGCCAGTAATCCTAGCACTTTGAGACCAACCTGGGCAACTTGGCGAGACCTCATATCTACAATAAATCAAAAAAATTAGCTGGACGTGGTGGTACACACCTGTGGTTCCAGTTACTTGGAAGGATGAGGCAGAAGGATCACCTGACCTCAGTAAGTAGAGGCTGCGGTGGCTGAGGGTGCCACTGCGCTTCAGCCTGGGTGACAGAATGAGACTTCTACTCAACAAACAAACAAACAAAAAATCCAAAGATGTAGTTTTGTTACTCTCTGCCTTTCAATAACACCCATTTCAAGGCCAGGTGCGTTGGTTCACACCTGTAATCCCAGTGCTTTGGAGGCCGAGGCAAGAGAATTGCTTGAACCCAGGAATTTGAGACCAAGGTCTCACCATGCTGCCCAGCCTGGTTTTGAACCCACAGGCTCAGGCAATCCTCTCACCTCGGCCTCCCAAAGTGCTGGGATTATAGACATGACCTCGCTTGGCCCATTTAATAAATTTTATTGGGCACTTGCTATTTCACAGAAATTGTGTTAGTGGCTTGGGGCTTGTGATAAAGCAGAGACATGCTTATGCTCATCTTGCATCGTAGAAAAACAGAGGGAAATTGAGTAATTAACAGAATAAACATGTAAAATAGCCAGGTGCTGTGGCTCACGCCTGTAATTTCAGCACTTTGGAGGAGATGATTGCCTGAGCCTGTGGGTTCAGGATTAGCCTGGGCAACACGGTGAGACTTCGACTCTACATCAAAAATTTAGCTGGGCATCTGTAGTTCCAGCTACTTGGAAGGCTGAGGTGGAAGGATCACCTGAGCCCAGCAGGTTGAGGCTGCAGTGGCCGTGAGTGTGTGACAGAGTGAGACTCCAACTAAAGAAATAAATAAATATCCTTTCGGCCGGAACTGTCATCTTCCAGTAATTCGCCAAAATGACGATCACGAACGGAAAGAGGAGGGGCACCCCGTACATGTTCTCCAGGCCCTTCAGAAGACATGGAGTTGTTCCTTTGCCACATACATGGGAATCTACAAGAAAGGTGATATTGTAAACATCAAGGAAATGGGCACTCTTCAGAAAGGCATGTCCCACAAATGTTACCATAGCAAGACAGGAAGAGTTTACAATGTCACCCAATGTTGTTGGCATTGTTGTTTTTTGTTTTTTGGGTTTTTTTTTGGGGGGGGGTTGTTTTTTTTTTTTGAGTTGGAGTCTCACTTTGTTGTCCAGACTGGATTGCAGTCACCACTCCCGGCCACCGCAGCCTTGACCTGCTGGACTCCAGTGATCCTTCCGCCTCAGCCTTCCAAGTAGCTGGAACTACAGGTGCGCGCTATCACACCTGGCTAATTTTTGATTTATTGTAGAGATGAGGTCTTGGCAAGTTGCCCAGGCGGGTCTTGAACCCGCGGGCTCAGGCAATCCACTCACCTCAGCCTCCCAAGGCGTGGGATTACAGGCTGAGCCACCGAGCCTGGCTGGCATTGTTGTTAACAAACAAGTCAAGGGCAAGATTCTTGCCAAGCAAATTAATGTGCGTATTGAGCATATTAAGCACTCGAAGAGTTGAGATAGCTTCCTGAAACACGTGAAGGAAAATAACCAGAAAAAGAAGGAAGCCAAGGAGAAAGGCACCTGGGTTCAGCTGAAGCGCCAGCCTGCTCCACCCAGAGAAGCACACTTTGTGAGAACCAACGAGAAGGAACCTGAGCTGCTGGAACCTATTCCCTATGAATTCATGGTTTAATAGGTGTCAAAAATAAAAGATCTCAGCTGGGCTCGGTGGCTCAGCCTGTAATCCCGCGCCTTTGGGAGGCTGAGGTGAGTGGAATGCCTGAGCCCGCGGGTTCGAGACCCGCCCGGGCAGGTGAGACCTCATCTCTACAATAAATCAAAAAATTAGCCAGGTGTGGTAGCGCGGGTCTGTAGTTCCAGCTACTCAGAAGGCTGAGGCAGAAGGATCACCGGAGCTCAGCAGGTCGAGGCTGCGGTGGCCGGGAGGGGCCACTGCACTCCAGTCTGGGCGACGGAGTGAGACTCCAATTCACAAAGAATAAAAATAAGGCCGGGCTCGGTGGCTCAGCCTGTAATCCCAGCACTTTGGGAGGCCAAGGCGAGTGGATTGCCTGAGCCCGTGGGTTCGAGACCTGCCTGGGCAACTTGGCGAGACCTTGTCTCTACAATAAATCAAAAAAACTAGCCGGGCGTGGTAGCACGCGCCTGTAGTTCCAGCTACCTGGAAGGTTGAGGCGGAAGGATCGCCGGAGCCCAGCGGGTTGAGGCTGCAGTGGCCAGGAGTGTGCCACTGCACTCCAGTCTGGGTGACAGAGTGAAACTCCAACTCAAAATAAATAAATAAATAAATAAATAATAATAAAAATAAAATAAAAGATCTCTGAACCATGAAAAGCAAAATAAATAAATAAACAAACAGGTAAAATATATGTCATTGGTGATAAATGCTACTGATAAAAAAGAAAGCAAAATGAGAGAATGGAGGTGACTACAATTTTAAATAGGATGGACAAGGTGTGCTTCATTCAGCTGATATTCTGAGCAAAAGCTTGAAGTGGGTGGGTGGGGAAGGCTATGTGGGTAGATAAGGGAAGGGTGTTCCAGGCAGAGGGAACAACCAGTGAGAGGCTCTGAAGTGGGATGTGTCTGGTATGTTCAGTAAACGCCAGGGAGATCAGTATGGGTGGAGCCCAGTGAGTGTGGAGGTTGAGGACAGAAAGGGCAACAAATCTTTTTACCTCTCTAGGGATCAGTTATTGCATCCGTAAAATGAAGATAACAATAGCACCTATGGGCGCAGTGGCTTACGTTTGTAATCCCAGCACTTTGGGAGGCCAAGGCAGAGGAATTGAAGACCAGCCTGGGCATCATAGTGAGACCTCATTTCTACAAAACAAACAAAAAAAGTTAGCGGGCTTAGTGGCATGCGCCTGTAGTCCCAGCTACTCGGGAGGCTGAGGCAGAAGTTTTGCCTGAGCCTAGGAGGTCAAGGCTGCAGTGAGCTGTCATGGTGCCACTGCACTCCAGCCTGGGCAAGAGTGAGACTCTGACTCAAAAACAAACAAATAAATAAAAATAAATAGATGATATAGATAGATGATAGGTGGACGGATAGAGAGAGAGACAGACAGAAAGAAAAGGGGCCGTTGCCTTGCTAGACTTGGTGTGGCCATGTGCTCTTTGAGCTATGCTGTCGCCATGCTTCCTGGCTTTGTCCCCCTCCCCTACCTTGAGGAAGTGAATCTTCTCTCTCTCTCTAATTTACTTTCTTTTTTGGGGGGGAGTTTGAGTTGGAGTCTCACTCTGTCGCCCAGACAGGAGTGCAGTGGCCACTCCTAGCCTCGACCTGCTGGGCTCCGGCAATCCTTCCGCCTCAGCCTTCCGAGTAGCTGGAACTACAGGTGCGCGCTACCATGCCCAGCTACTTTTTGATTTATTGTAGAGATGAGGTCTCGCCAAGTTGCCCAGGTGGGTCTCGAACCCGCGGGCTCAGGCAATCCACTCACCTCAGCCTCCCAAAGCACGGGATTACAGGCTGAGCCACCGAGCCCGGCTTTCTAATTTACTTTCAAATAAACCATATCTTCTAATCAAAAGAAATGGAGAGAGGGAGAGCAGGAGGGAGGGAGGGAGGAAGAAAAAAGCACTAGGAAAAGTACCTGACCTATATAGAGTATTCTGAAAGGGGGCTCGGGAAGTGCGTGTCCAACCTCCAGGGGCAACAGCGAGTTCGGTCCGAGCTCTGGGCAAGAGCTCAGGGTCAAACGAGGTGAGACCTTTTCCAGTCGTCTCCCGCCTCTGTGGCAGCCACAGCTGCTTCCTCCTGCGGCTCCTGTCCACGCTGTGGCCACGTGAGTGCTGAGTTGTGGCGCACACAAGCACTCCGAGTGCTTTCCAGCTTTTCCCCAGGAGCACCCTTCCTGCTCCCTTCTTCCACGGCTCAAGCTGCGCCTGCCTCCGGGGCTGAGTAGCCCCTTGGCTTTACTCCAGGGGTGGGGTTGGGGAGCAAAGAGGAAATGCAGACTCAGGAAGCCCCTTTCCACGGTCTGTGCAGACCTTCCCCCCACTCCTCAGGCAGGCCAGCCATAAAGAGGAGTCCAACCTTCAATTTTAAAGACAGCTTCCTCAGTCGGGCGCGGTGTCTCATGCCTGTAATCTCAGCACTTTGGGAGGTGGAGGTGAGAGGATTACCTGAGTCCAGGGATTCGAGACGAGTTTGGACAACTTGGCGAGACGAGTTTGGACAACTTGGCAAGACCTCGTCTCTACAAAAAAAACAAATTGGCTGGGCGTGGTGATGAGCCCAGCAGGTTGAGGCTGCAGTGGTGGTGAGCAGTGTCACTGCACTCCAGCCTGGGCGACAGAGTGAGACCCAGACTCAATGAATGAATGAATGAATGAATGAAGACAGCCTCCAAAGACGTTGTCTGCTTCACTTAACACTTTTTTTAAATTTAAAAAACTTAAAATATTTAGAAAATATTTAGCCACAATAAAGACAAACCCAACCAGTACAAATACACGCACACACACCGAAAAGTATTTCTTCCATCACCTCCTGCCTGAATAAAGTAATTTTTTTCTAATTAATGTCTCTTCCTTTGGTCTCATGAATCCCCACGCTCCCAATCACTACAGGCAGAGGATTCCAGCTAAGGAGCAGAACCTACAAATTAAAAGCTTGCAGTGGTCCCTAACTACCTCAGGACAAATGCAGACTTTTTACCCTTCATGAGCTGCTGGTCACCCTATTTGGCCCCTCTCATTCTCAGATTTCACATGTATTCAACCATCCCCTCAAATAATCTCTCAAATAAATATATGATATAGATAGATGATAGATGGACAGATAGAGAGACAGACAGAAAGGGGGGACATAGCCTTGCTAGAATCCAGTGTGGCCATGTAATGTTTGAGCTATGGCTGTCGCCATGCTTCCTGGCTTTGGTCTATTCTCTGCCCTACCACACCCTTCCCATAAGCTTCCCTTACCTGGCCAAGTTCAAGTCCTACTTGTGCTGCACTTGTACTGATGTCCCATTCTTATCTGGTGTTCCCACAGCCTTCTGAGAGGCTTCATTACAGCTGATCACACCAAAACTGTCTTCCTGTTCAGGCAGGTCTATTTGAATCATGGCCCAACCTCCCCTCCTGGTGCCGAAAATTCACCCAGTGTGATTTGCATTCATTATAGGCATGAATGAATAATAATGGTGCCTGCATTTATATAGTGCTAACTCCACACCTGGCAGTGTTGTAGACTGTTCACATATATACATCCATGTAATCCACACAACCCCAGAATTGATAGGTTTTCATTTTACCAATATGGAAATTAAAGCACTGAGCAGTTAAGTAACTTGGCCAGGTATTAAGAGGCTGAGCCGGGGGAGGGGGATGGGATTAACAGTAGCAAATATCTGTCTGGTGATGGGAAAACACCTCTTATCAACAGGGTGCCTGAATGAAACGTAACTGTACACCTAACCCTTAACTGTACCCCACAAAACCATAATAAAAAATATTGATTAATTTAAAAAAAAAAAGAGGCTGAGCCAAGCACAGTGGCTCACTCCTGTAATCCCAGCGCTTTGAGAGGCGGAGGCGAGACTGACTGAGTCCAGGGGTTTGAGACCAGCCTGGGCAACATGACGAGACCGCACTCGTCTCTACAATAAATCAGAAAAATTAGCCGGGTGTGGTGGTGCTCACCTGTGGTTCCAGCTACTTGGAAGGCTGAGAAGGAAGGATCGTCTGAACTCAGCAGGTCGAGGCTGCGGTGGCATGAGCGTGCCACTGCCATCCAGCCTGGGCAACAGAGTGAGACTCTGACTCAAAAACAAACAAAAAAAACCAACAGGCTGAGGTGGGATTTGAACCAGGCGGTCTGATTTCCCATAAATCAACCAAGAGCTGGAAGGAGAAGGACAGGACCTCACAGAAAAAATCAGGCAGAGTTTGATCTGTTAGCTTTATACCTAGGGGTCTTCCAGCCCACCTACCTTTTGCTTCCAGGGAGCCCATTTCATAGAGCAGAAGATAGGGGCCCAGAAAGACAAAGATAACCTCGGGGGCACCGTGGAGGCAGCGGTTCTATATATCTGGAGGTCTGGGAGTGGGGGCATAGCCGGGATGGGTGGGCGCCCGGGTCGCGAGTCCTCAGCGCCAAACTACAACTCCCAGGAGGCGTCGGGCGCCCACAGCCCGCGTGACGTCACGGCGGCAGAGGGCGCAGGCGGCTCGGCTCGCCCGGCCGGTCGACGGTTCGGGCTGTTCCGCTCGGACCCGGGCCCTGGCTCTGGCCCCGCGGTAAGTGGAGCAACCCGCGCAGATCCTGCCCACGGAGGCTCCGCAGTGCAAGCTCGACGCTTCCAGCGCTGAGCGGGAGCGCGCTCAGACGGGGACTGGCATCTACCATATGGAGGGGGATCCGGGCCGAACCAAGTGACCCCGCGTGTGGGGGAGACTCAGAGAGGAACTACGGGCCGCACCCTCGATGCGGCGGGCCCTGACGGGCACAGTGCTGTTTGTCGCACGTACGCAGTCCAGGCTCGCGGGACACGGATCAGAAGGCGTTGGGTGGGGGTCGGCCCCGCCCCCCTGAACACAGGACCAGAAGGAGCCGGGGCGAGGCTTACGGGCTGGAGAGGTCTGAGGGTCTCCCCCCACCCCCACCAGATAGAGCCTCAGGCTGAAGAATAGGAGCTCCGGAAAGCAAGGCTGTTCGGGCTCGGCCTGTGTGTGTTTGGAGGGCTGGTTGAAGGTGTGGGCAGAGATTGCCTTGAGGATACCGGTGCACGCTTGGAGAGGTGGTGGGAGTTGTCTGAATTCGGATCCTTACAAATCCCCCTTCCTTGCCCTGGTAGATGGGAGCTGCTTTCCAGGAGCCGAGCTTGTCAGCATCCTCCATGGGCCCTCGCCCCTGAAGTCAGAGAAGAGTCCCAGCCCACCTACACCCCTCGTCCTGTTTTGGGGTCGCCTCCATCCCTTGGGTCCTCAGCCCTCGCGGCTGCTCAGTCTGTCAAAGGGACAGGATGATGATACTGGCATCGGTGCTGGGGAGCAGTCCCCGGGGCGGGGCTCCACTCTGGCCCCTCCTGGGGATGGCACTCTCCCTCAGGGCCCGCTCAACGTCAGCCACCGATACACACCATGTGGAGATGGCCCGGGAGCGCTCCAAAACAGTCACCTCCTTTTATAACCAGTCAGCCATCGATGTGGCTGCAGAGAAGGTATGCAGCTGGGGTGGAAAGCCTGGGCCTGGGAGCTGGAGTGGGTGTCCTGGGAAAGCATAGAGGCGATGTGGCGCCTTGCAGGGTGTTGGAGGTTCTTTGCTCAAGGCCCATCTGTGTCTCCAGCCCTCAGTCCGCCTCACTCCGACCATGATGCTCTATTCCGGCCGCTCTCAGGATGGCAGCCACCTTCTGGTAATATTCCTGCCTCCTAATTTCCCCTTGGCTCTTGGAACTCTGGTCCAGCCACTGAGATCCCAGCCTGCCTTCCTTTCTCTTTTTCTTCTAGAAAAGTGCCCGGTACCTGCAGCAGGAGCTGCCCGTGAGGATTGCTCACCGCATCAAGGGCTTCCGCTGCCTTCCTTTCATCATTGGCTGCAATCCCACCATACTGCACGTGGTAAGGTAGAGAGGACCTTAGATTAGCATGTCCACTGCCCAAGGGGAAATGGGGAGTCTGGGGCTCAGAGTGGCAGAAACTTGCTTGCCGAAAGGTGTCAGGGCTCTACAGGATTCCACCTCAAGCCTCCAGATGCTGGTTCATGGAGGCTGGAAAGGCCTCAATGGGGGTTCGGCCACTTGATTGGGTTGAGTGGTGATCCCCATGGGCAGGCAGGGGCGACTGTTCTCTACCCAGTGCCCATGGCACCCCTGTGAATTCTCACACCTCTTCCTTGCAGCACGAGCTGTACATCCGTGCCTTCCAGAAGCTGACAGACTTCCCTCCGGTGAGGGCTGGGCCAGAGCAGGGTGAGGGGCTGAGAGGTTAGGGTTGGACCACCTGTGCTCATGACTCTGTGACCTGCAGATCAAGGACCAGGCAGAGGAGGCCCAATACTGCCAGCTGGTACGACAGCTGCTGGATGACCACAAGGATGTGGTGACCCTCTTAGCTGAGGGCCTGCGTGAGAGCCGGAAGCATATAGAGGTCAGGGGCAGCAAAGTAGGGGGCCGAGCCTGTTGGAGAGACTGGGAAAGGGCATATGGTTCTGAGGCCTCACTCTTGACAGGACGAAAAGCTTGTCCGCTACTTCTTAGACAAGACACTGACGTCGAGGCTTGGGATCCGCATGTTGGCCACCCATCACCTGGCGTTGCACGAGGACAAGGTAGGGCACTGAGCCTAAGACCTGCCTAGGAAGGTTAGGAGGGACAGAGGCAACTGAGCTGGGGATCTGGGCCCCTCCTAGGGAGAGGCTCTAGGCTGCTGCTTTTTTTTTTTTTGAGTTGGAGTCTTACTCTGTCGCCCAGGCTGGAGTGCAGTGGCATGCTCACAGCTACTGCAACCTCGACCTGCTGAGTTCAGGCGATCCTTCTGCCTCAGCCTTACAAGCAGCTGGAAATACAAGTGTGTGTCACCACACCCAGCTAATTTTTATTTTTGATTATTTATTGTAGAGATGAGGTCTCGTCCAGTTGCCCAGGCTGGTCTTGAACCCATGGGCTCAGACAATCCTCTCACCTTGGCCTCCCAAAGTGCTGGGATTATAGGCGTGAGCTACCACGCTCAGCGGAGCTACTGCTTTGTGGCAGTTCAGAAGCTGCAAGCACTTGGCAGCTGAGGTGGGGGCGGAGGTGTTACTGACCTTTTCTCCTGCTAGCCCGACTTTGTTGGCATCATCTGTACTCGTCTGTCACCAAAGAAGATTATTGAAAAGTGGGTGGACTTTGCCAGGTAAGGCTAGAATGGCTAAGGTGATGATCTCTTGGAGCAGGGAAGGCTTGGGTTTGAACCCTTCCCTGGGGTCTGGTCTGGGACTGGGTTTCTCAGTGCTGGCACTACTGACATTTGGCGCCAAATAATTCTTTGTGATGGGGGCCTGTCCTCTGCATGCATGTCAGGATGTTTAGCAGAATCTCTGGCTTCTCATTTGATGCCAGTAGTAAACTCCCCCCTAAGTTGTGACAAGCAAAAATATCTCCATACAGTGCCAAATGTTTCTTAGTGGGGTAGGATTGCCTCCATTTGAGAACCACTGATCTAGGGTCACCTGTCTGAACTCTTGCTCCTGTCTACAGACGCCTGTGTGAGCACAAGTATGGCAATGCCCCTCGTGTCCGCATTAACGGACATGTGGCTGCCCGTTTCCCTTTCATCCCTATGCCACTGGACTACATCCTGCCTGAGCTGCTCAAGAATGCCATGAGGTGGGCTGGCTGGACATGTTGGGTGGGGGGTAGATAGGAACTGCGGTGCTACTTACTGGTCTCTCCCCGCTGCATAGAGCCACGATGGAGAGTCACCTAGACACTCCCTACAATGTCCCAGATGTGGTCATCACTATTGCCAACAATGATATCGATCTCATCATCAGGTTTGCCTTGAGTGGGAGTTGGGCTAGGTGGGGGGCGGTTTCTAGGCACTGTTTCTGACTTGTTATAGGACTCAAACCAGTACCTGCCCCACTCTGGACTTGGTCCCTGACCAGACAAGATATTCTGTCAGCCATGAGATGGATATTAATGGAGCTGCGGTCATCTGCAGGCTCCAGGGTTCTGCCTCTGTTAGTAACTGAGGGGACTGGAGTTGGGAAGGAGCCAGGAGTAACCAGTCTGTGATGCTGGGCCGAAAATAAATGTCAGATCCTGTGAGAAGGTATAAGCAGTCAATGGCCCAGACAGAGGTGAGGATGGAGAATGTAGCTTATACAAATAAGACCCAAGGGCCTAGTAGACCACTTTTCACCTTTGGGTGGAAGGGACCATCTGTTTGGGAGGTAGTGAGCACCTCATCCGAGCTGTAGCTCATTGTCGAAATCCCGTCAGGATTTCAGATCGGGGTGGAGGAATCGCTCATAAAGACCTGGATCGGGTCATGGACTACCACTTCACTACAGCTGAGGCCAGTACCCAGGATCCCCGGATCAGCCCCCTCTTTGGCCACCTGGACATGCACAGCGGTGGCCAGTCAGGACCCATGCACGGGTGAGGCCTCACCTGGCCAGGATGGAAGGGCGGGGGGCCCTAGGAGATTCCAGCCTCAGAAGCCCCTGTCTTATCCCCCTGTCCGTCCCCAGCTTTGGCTTCGGGTTGCCCACATCACGGGCCTACGCGGAGTACCTTGGTGGTTCCCTGCAGCTGCAGTCCCTGCAGGGCATTGGCACAGATGTCTACCTGCGACTCCGCCACATCGATGGCCGGGAGGAAAGCTTCCGAATCTGATCCCACAGCCTTTGGCTTGCTCGCCTGCCCAGCCTGGGCCACATTCCCTGCCGGGACCTTCCAGGTCAGGCAGGGTGACACTCTGCTCCACACGCTGCTGCATCTTGGGTCTCAGGGCCCCAGACAGATGGACTTACATGGAGCTGGGCACTGCTCCTCCTCAATAGGGCCCGCCGCTTCCTTGCCTCTGGCCTTGGAGGGGAAGAAACGGGGACCCCTGAGGCCTCTAGCACCAGCTCCGTCATTCTCGTTCCTGGGGAACCCCTACTTGACCTGTTGTTTGTTATTAAAGTTCGCATTTTGAATGCCCTCTTGGGCCCCGCGTGTGGGAAGGGCAGGTGGTTCCCTGGGCCCTTGGGTTTAACTGGTTCATGTTCTAGTATCTTAACTCCTGACAGCATGGCAGATCTGGAGGAGTATGAGTCCCAAGTCTCTTACATGTTTGATTTAGTGGGAGTAGAGTGACTAAGGCAGCTTAGGCAAAGACCTGTTAATTCATCTCTTTTTTTTTCAAAGTTTTAAAACAAAGTTTAAGCCGGGCTCAGTGACTCAGCCTGTAATCCCGTGCCTTTGGGAGGCTGAGGTGAGTGGATTGCCTGAGCCCGCGGGTTCGAGACCCGCCTGGGCAGCGAGACCTCATCTATACAATAAATCAAAAAATCAGTTGGGCGTGGTAGCGTGCGCCTGTAGTTCCAGCTACTTGAGGCGGAAGGATCGCCAGAGCCCAGCAGGTCGAGGCTGCGGTGGCCGGGAGCGGCCACTGCACGCCAGTCTGGGCGACAGTGAGACTCCAATTCAAAAACAAACAAACAAAAAACCAACAAAGTTTATTAGAGAAAGAAGAAAGAGACATGCCAGAGCTGACATGGGTGAGAGAAACCACCTATTCAACTCATTTAACCAAAGTTTCTGGTCCCAGATAATTTTTTATTTATTTATTTTTTTGAGTTGGAATCTCACTGTTGCCCAGGCTGGAGTGCAGTAGCACATTCATGGCCACTGCAGCCTTGACTTGCTGGGCTCAGGCAATCCTTCCGCCTCAGCCTTCCAAGCAGCTGGAACCACAAGCGTGTGCTACCATACTTGGCTAATTAATTTTTTGTAGAGAAGAGGTCTTGCCAAGTTGCCCAAGGTCTTGAAGCCCTGAGCTTAGGCAGTCCTCTTGCCTCCACCTCCCAAAGTCCTGAGCTTACAGGCATGAGCCACCATGCCCGACCCCCAGAGAATACTGAAGGCCCAGGTTGACACAGCTTCATGTCTCAATCCTGACTTCCCTTCCTGGCAGTCAGTTTCTAGAGGTGAAGGTCACCAGACTGGGCAACCTCCTGAGCCACCTGATTCCTGAGCCTGATTAAGGTTAAAAATACTGTGTCTGCTGCTGCCAAGGAAAAGAACACACAAGGTTGTGCCCTGGCAGTCCCCACCAGGGACTGGGTGCCCTACCGCAGAGAAAGGTGAGGCCCTGGTAGGGAGGACCACCAGGACTTGGGCAAGGAAAGAATTCCAGATAGCAGGTTGGCTCAAGGTTAGACTTGAAGGAGAGCTCCTGTAAGAAGCAGAACTCCAGCTGATGTTTTAGGTAGAACACTCTACCCACCTTGACAGGGAAGGAGAAGAAAGGCCTGAGAGCCTCCCTGATAGGATTTGGGAGCAGGGTCTTTCCTCTGTCTCTTGCTTCTACTTGGAGCTCTGGTGAACTTCCTGAGGTTTGCTCTAGGCCTGTATATCTCTACCCTTAGGGTGATGGAGGTGGGGGATGAGGGGAAGGTATATCTAGAGGTCAAACAGCAGATGGTGGAAAACCACAGTGACTTGCTAGGCTAAAAATTCTGCTGGCTGCAGTGCAGGGAAATGAGGCTGGAGAGGTGGGTAGCAGTCAGGGGGTCAGGGCATTGGAGCATGGGCTTTATCCTGAGGGAGTAGGGATCTCAGGATGGGTTCTAAGCTAGGAAGGGATGTTTCAAGTTGGAGTCCCTAGAAGCAGACCTTGAGCAGAGAATGTGACCACATTATTTGTTAAGAAAGTACTCCCAGGCCAGGTGTGGTGCCTCATGCCTGTAATCCCAGCACTTTGGGAGGCTGAAGCGAGAGGATTACCTGAGCCTGTGGGTTCAAGACTAGCCTCAGGAGCGTGGTGAGACCTTGTCTCTACAATAAATAAAAAAATTAAGCCGGGCTGGGTAGCTCAGCCTGTAATCCCGCGCCTTTGGAAGGCTGAGGTGAGTGGATTGCCTGAGCCCGCGGGTTCGAGACCCGCCTGGGCAGGCGAGACCTCATCTCTACAATAAATTAGAAAAAAATCAGCTGGGCGTGGTAGCACATGCCTGTAATTCCGGCTACTCGGAAGGCTGAGGCGGAAGGATTGCCGGAGCCCAGCAGGTTGAGGCTGCAGTGGTTGGGAGCGGCCACTGCACTCCAGTCTGGGCGACAGAGTGAGACTCCAACTCAAAAACAATAACAACAACAACAACAACAACAAAACTAAAGATTTTATCCTGTGAGGATAACTGACTGACTGTCCGGGGACACCCGTTCCGCCTCCCCCCACCCCATATCTTTTTCCTATCTTGAACAAGGGAAGCAGTTTCTTCAACCTTCAAGTGGGGTGATCGTTATGAGGCTGGCACAAATGGGCATCGCAGAAGTGGGTGCTAACTCCATGCTCACAGCCTTGATGCCCGGGCAACCAAGGAGGCCTCTCGGGCTCTGCCCCGTTAAAGTGGGGGTAGCTTCCGTGAATTATAACACATCCTGGCTTCCTCGGGCACCAGGGCCTTTAAAAAGGCTGAGCTGAGTCACCACCAGGAGGTCTGTCTCAATCCCAGGGTGCAGCTACATTTTCTTTCTTTCTTTCTTTCTTTTTTGAGTTGGAGTCTCACTCTGTCGCCCAGACTGGAGTGCAGTGGCCGCTCCCGGCCACCGCAACCTCGACCTGCTGGGCTCCGGCGATCCTTCCGCCTCAGCCTTCCAAGGAGCTGGAACTACAGGCGCGCGCTACCACTCCCGGCTAATTTTTGACTTACTGTAGAGATGAGGTCTCGCCAAGTTGCCCAGGCGTGTCTCGAACCCGCGGGCTCAGGCCATCCACTCACCTCAACCTTCCAAAGCGCTGGGATTACAGGCTGAGCCGAGGAGCCCGGCTGCAGCTACGTTTTCACATCAAAAACCAGGAACTCCAGGTCATCTGCACAGTAATGGTCCAGCTCGCGGGGGCGACGGCGCGAGCCAATAAGCTCCCTCTACGTCACAGAGCCCACCCTCCAGCTCGAGGTGCCCGCCCCTCGCGCCGCTGACCCGGAGCTAAAAGAGCTGCACGGCGCTACATTCTCCCGTCACTTCCTCCACCGCGATGGCGGCACAGGCTGCTGCTGCGGCAGTTGCGGCAGCGACTTCAGGGGTCTCGGGGGAGGGCGAGCCAGGGCCTGGGGAGAATGTGGCGGCCGAAGGGACCGCCCCATCCCCGGGCCGCGTCTCTCCGCCGACCCCCGCGCGCGGCGAACCGGAAGTCACGGTGGAGATCGGAGAAACGTACCTGTGTCGGCGACCGGATAGCACCTGGCGTGAGGGCGGGGCCCAGGGCCAGGGGGCGGGGCCTGGGTGGGCGAAGCCTGAGAACAGGTTCTCTGAAGGGCTGAGAGCTGGGG